AACCCGTCAACACAATCTCACAGCCAATAACTAACGCTCATTATTCAACAAATATCAACATCTTAAATCTATTTTAACTTTATAAAATTGAATAAACATCTTTATTACAAAATAGATTTTAACTTTGTTTAGATCATTTACTATATCTACCTTGATAATAACCATAATTATTAACAAAATACTTGTTTTTATCAAGAAAACCTTACAACTACATTAATAAAATAATATATTAAATTATTTCAATCAACAATTTAAAGAACATGTGAAAAGGTGGCCTATGTTAATGTTATATAACCACTTAAAACCTGATGTAGAAACTTAGCTCAGTTTAAGTAAATACTTACAACATCCATCTTGCCGATATCAAAGCCGAGTTCTCTGATTGGTATCTCGTACATGTATGTGAGGATATCTCCGAGTGGACGCAGCTTGTGTGGAGTCAGCTGCTTGAGGCCTGCGTGCAGTAATCGCCGTGCAGCCTTGTGGTACACCGTGCCTGGCTTGTTGTACTTCATCGCATTGTTGCACATTAACTTGAAGTCACTCTGTAAGTTTTACTGTTGTTTTATACAGACATTGATCTGAGTACTAGAGATATTCGAGCGTAATTATGTTACTCAATTATAAGAATTTTCAGGAAAAAAAATTACTGTAATACCTTGTAAACCGAAAGTAACAAATTTCCACAATAAAAATAGTTTTTTTAACAATACAAGAAAACTATTGTAAGTCTGATACTTTTGCAGCACTTCCTAAAAATGGTATTTTAAAAAATCAACTTACGATAAAGCAATTAAGTGATTTGTACTCATTGTCATCAATCTTCTGTTTAATAGTAGAGAAGTCCATTGGCCTCCTTATGATGGTAGAGTAGCCGGGAGCAAAGTTGTCATTGACTGGCCATGCAAAGAACTGGTGTGGGTCTCGCTTCTCCAAATTCCTCAGCAGCTGCTCCAGTAAACGGGACAGGGGACGACGTTTCTGGCTCGCCTGAGTATGTGACAGTGGGTTAAGCGAAAATAAAGGATAAAATTCTAACATCTAAGCTAAATGTTACCTTTAACACACAAGTACGAGGCTCCCTGTGCGACGCAGGTGAATTGGGTACTGGACTTAACCGCCTTATCATCTTCTTTCCAGAAACTTCATCATCTGATTCATCGTCATCTGATAACTTAATCTGTGGATATTAAAATGTTTTTTCTTATTTTGTATTAATTACTATTACCACTTCATTTATTTATAATTTATCGAATACTCGCCATATCAACTTCACGGCGTCGCCTCTTTCTTTTTTTGGATTTCTCCTCAGATTCCTTGGACTCATCGTTGGCAGAATGCTCCATGTCACTCAGATCTATTATTTCCTCTTCTTAAACATAGAAATTCACATTAAAACATGTTCTTGTCGGTAAAATGTATACATGTACAAAAATAAATAACACTCACTACAACTTAATTTTTCAACGTCGTCCATTTTGTTCTGTTAAAACACAACAAACTTATAATTTACAATTTAATTCTAGGATTTTGATACTTAAAATAGGCTTATATATTAAAAAAAATAGAACAAATTCCTTATTTCTTGTTTACCGATCTGACATATTGATTTTAAATGGCTTGGCTTGTCAAAGCTGTCAAAACCATGGCTGTATTACTAGAACAGGAAAGAGCTCTTGTCGAAAAATTGAAGCCGAGCGAGACCGCAATAACTGTCCGTTTTATCACTCTCTGGCGATGGTGACTATAGACAAATATTACTTAAGGACAAATATTAATGCTTCAGATGGATTTTAACGTATTTATGTTAACATTCATGTTTTTACTAAATATAATACAAAATACGTAATTCTAAATCAGACATTGCTAATAGGTCTTGTGAAGTTTATGCCACATATCTATTTTATCATTATGTGTGTTTAAGTTATTTGTCCTTGAACTAGAATTGGATAGTCATGCATGGTCACCGTAGTTCTACAACAAACATATTATGTTTAAAACTATTACCTGTGAAAATGTTACCCACAATCAGCATAATACTCGCTTTGGTAAGCCTCCACACAAATTCTTCCCATTTTAACTATAATTCTTCAAAAATATCACGAAATCAAAAAAGACTACGCCATAAACGTCCGAGTTGGGATGTCATGTTGGGTTGCCAGTTCAGGTGTCCGAATTTCAAACAAATAAAAGATACCATGTATGCCAATCGCAATTTTTTTATGTTGATAAGGTTTTGCCTGTAGCAACCAATAATGTTGCTTTAACGTGTCGATAATAAATTATTATTGATATTTAGAAACATTTTAAATGTAAATGTTTTCACTGCATTACATTAGATAAATTGCTTTTTTTCTACAAACAACGAAAAGATTGGTATCTGGCAACTCTAGGTCATAGGTTAGAAAGGGAAATATCGGACACTTGTAGCCCTCTCACTCCTTTCAATTTCATTTTGCGTGCAATGAGATTCTTACACCTTTAACATAAGGTTTTATTTTCTTTATTTTAAATGCAAGATGTATAGAAAACGCACTCCTGTTGTTCGTAATACTTATGACGTCCACGGTCAAAACTTTGACATAACGTTTGTATTCCGTTTTATACTAAATTTTTTTCTTCGTGGTTTTAATGTTTTAACAAAAAAAAAACACGTATGTTTGTATGTTTTGCAGCATTATTTTGGTTTCTAGTATATATCATATTAAGTATTATGGTGCAAATTAAATTATTTTATATTTATTGGTGTACGTGTGAACTAATCCTTTGATATCATAAAACTAATAGATTTAATTTTTCCATTACCACAGCTGGAATGCGGATATTGTTTTCGTGCTGACTTGTGAAAACGGCAAACTGCACAAGATGATCGATACAGAGGAGCTATCGTTCCCCTCTTCGCCCTTCATTGCACAATTAATTTTGCGCCATTGCATTTTGCTCACGATAACTCTACACCATGTTCTGTTCAATGTTTGTTGGTATCGAGACTCATCCAGACTGTGGTATTTATTTTTATTTCTTAGATACCAAAGTAGTTATATGTATTTGCTACTGTTCTTATTTGAACGTCCCAAAACAAGGGATGTCTTTTGTCCGCTATAAAAAAAACTTAAATCAACTTCCGAATTTACGGCAGAACATAAGTTCAATGTATACATCGTGTAAAATCACTAGGAAACAATTTTACTAGACTTTTATTTTTTCAAATATAACTTCCCGCTGATTATTTTGAATGCTAGAGATGAACACAGCTTTATTATATCTCTGCGTTCTGTTATTGTATCCTTCCGTGTGATCGGCTAATTAAATTGGCCGGTGTTCGCGCCGGCTAATGGAAAATCGCGTTTAATAAATCTTTTACTCTCGCGCAACCGCAACCAATAGATCTATTGTCTACAGATTTACAAGGGTGTATACATACAGGGTTTTTGTATTAAAAATGACAAGCTAAATACACCAAAGAAGAAATCAGAAGAATTTATAGTGGCTTAGTTAAAATACGTTAACCATAAAGAACCAAATTTATTACGCTGAATGTCAAGATCACTGCAATGATAAGCTATAGTGATTTGACATAGGCTTAAGAAACAAATTAACACTTACCGCGATCTCTAATCTTAGCTTTATAGCCTCAACCGACAACGGCTCCGGGAAAAACTAAAAGAATTTAATGTACATTACGTTCGTTATCTTAAAAATTCGTCGCCCAATTAGCACGCGAGATGATGGTGATGTAAGTACAATAACCGGCCGATAGAAGATAATCCTCTAACAACCACATAGCTTTAAACGACATTACCGAAATGGTGGGAATTTAAACTCTCGCTGATGTCGGAGCATTTAAACCTAGTAACTAATAATACTTAAGTATAGTATTGTATTATCTGTGATTTAAACCCTTGGTAAGAAGAAAAAATTCGAGCATGGGAAGACCGACCTTCATGCAAAGAATACGTTCTAAAGGACCTAAGTTCTAATACTTTTTAAAGGACCCTAAGTGGCACTTTGGTTTTATGGATGAATTTTAATTTATGATAGGAATTACAGAAAGAGAAGAAATAATTATTAGTGAAAGTGAAAATTATTATGAGTACTAATTACAAGTTAGGTACCGGGAATATGCTGGCGCACGCGACGTTCCTTCGGGACTTCAAGCATTCCTGTCTCAACAACTTGATTCGGGTCCTGGAGCTAGGATGCACAGATTATCTGGCCTTTGTTTAGGCTCCATCATAAAGTTAATTGCTTAGGTATTCAGGAATTATGAATTGCATAATAAAATGCCCATGAAATACTTTAAGTGTGAACTATAAATGTTTAGAATTTTCCCTTAAGTTACATTATTGTTAAAGTAATGAACTTTTCTACTAATTTTAGTGCATTATAAAGATACAGGGTATTTCGATTAAGATGCTTTAAAAACGGACAAGAAAATAAAAGTGACAGAAGACAGTAAAATTAAATAGTTGTAAAGAAAGTGAAGAGAACTTTGGTTTCTAATCTCGGCATGAATCTGCATTCGGTTTCTCCGGTCCTGACCCAGTCACCTGTGTTGCAGGATGCTATAGCACCCACTCGGTATGCGATGTGGGGTGGGCAGGAGTACGTGAACTGAATGCCAGTAAGCGGAACTGACCGCTTTAACCTAATACCGTGAATTCGTCGAGTGAAATTTGACCAAATTCACTTAGTTTGCACAAACACACGCATATCAGATTTAAATTTGCACATTTAACAAATTCTATTTTACGAGCGTTATACGTTTTTGTAAACAAAGTGAATCAAGATAAGGTTAATTAAATTTTAAAGGTCAGTAATTTGGAAAGAGAAAAGGAGCTTGTGTTTTCTTTAGATTTCATTTATTTTAAGTATAAAGATTTTTGACTTTCAGTTTTTTTAAGTAGTAAAGGAAAATATTATGACAAGTTATTTCTACATAATAGCATGTCCCAAAGTCAAGAGTGCCAAATTAGTTGATTACGTTATTGTAGGTGTCGCGGCCACTTTCGCTCGCCGCCACTTGTACAGCCGTCCAGCGTGCCGTGTGCGGCGTGCACAGCCTCGCGATAACGCCCTCTCTTCATTGATAACTTACACGGACATAGAATAAACAGCGCAGATATACGCTACAGCTTTACAAAAGCTTGCAAACCATGCAGTTTTAGTCCATAAGGTAAACGCAAAACACACTTATAGGTGTACAAAACCTAAGTTCTACATTACTGTAGACTAAGGAAGTAATATCTAGAAAAAAATATGGATTGTGTACATACAGGTCGCTGTGACATGAGATTTCGACAACATAACTATATCCAATTGAAGAAAAAACTAATTCGAAATGACTATCTGGATGTATTTAAAGTCTTTGGTGTGCTGGATGTTTTCTGCGCGCGCGCCGTTCGCCGGCGATCGAGCGCGCAATGCGCATAACGGCGCGAGAGAGCGAAGTGGCCGTACGTCTGTGGCGAGACCCTCAATATTACGACGCGAGTGACTGTGACAGGAACCGTGCGAAATACTAATAAAGTTCCCCTGTGACCGTGTTTGTGTGCTTCATTTGTTGCTTATCCATACATCTTGTTATCCAATCTACTGTTGACATCTAGGTAAGCTAACTTACTGTTATTATTGCGGTTTTGCGCATGCGATTTGTATCCTATTCGGTTTCTTTGATCTGCTTAGATTCGTGTTTAGATGCGATGCCTTCAATGTCGATTTTTGAATCTTAGAAAGTTTGAGGTAATTGTAGAAATTATAGAAATCATAGTATTGTTGTATTGTATGGTAAGAAATAATAAGGTCATCGGAGAAGTAAATGAGGGCGAGTAAAGCACATTACCTTCCGACATTATCGTGAGTAAAGCTCGGCTACAAATCCAAGTAAACTGTATTTTTTTAAACGCACACTTTTGTGGTAAATAATTTTGCACTTACATATAAAATTTCAAGTAACTAATTAACTTAATAAGTAATGTAATATCGTTTTGTAAGGATGTAGTAGAACAATATGACATTGTATAAAAATAATTTACATTACATTTAACGGTAGACTGTCGTAGTTATGTTAACTTATGTTGCCCAGTGTACACTGTACACACCTGTTCACACTGAGCGCGAGATGTCGGCTAACGTCTCACCGGCAGTTATAATTATAGGTAATTCTGTGCACCTCGGCCACCTCGCACTTTCTTTTAGCGTATCCATCAATTAACATTACTTGAAAGTAAGTTAAATACAAGATAAATTATCTAACAAAACTGTACAGAGAAGTAAACTGTGTTAATAGCTCTGTTTAATTCTATTTCCTTAATTTATTTCGGATGTGAAAAGTAAATATAAATAAATAACTTGGAACAGAGCCGACTGTATTGTTATATTTGCAATCTATGCGGAATATTTGTAATCTTATACAGTTATTCGCAAAGTTACTTAATTATGCGTTAATAATAATTATTAATACTCGTATATTAAAAATTGATATTTGATAGTTAAACAATGGTAGAGTGAAGAGACTAGAGACACACGATATTTGACATTTCATCCCTCGGAGCATTTAGTTTTCCCTGGTTCTCTTTATTTCCGTTTTCCATAAAATGCGTTACTAAATTAATAACCAAATATTATCACAAAACCATCTTATTAAACAGTATAAACAGAATGGAATCGCACAGCGATCAATGCGCAGTCGGAAGTTAGCTGGTAATATGAAATATCAGCGTTTGTTACCGTAATACTAACTTTATCAGTTCTAGTTTCTTGTGTTTCAATAGCTGTGTTGATTCGAAAGTATTCCTTAAGGTGGAGTATTAGAGGCGATTGTTTCTTGCATTCTATAGGAAAACAATCGAACCCTGGCGGAAGCGTGGTCAGGCTCACCACTTCGGTAATTGCTCTGGACTCTGAAGTTGCGTAAATTATCACACTTCAACACACAAACAAGAATATATTTATTTAAGTTGTAGACAAATTGTTCATTAAGAGCGTGCGCATACAAGAAATTAAACTATCGCACAACTGTTTAGTTTTGCTTTGATTCCTTTGAGCATATATGGAGATGCAAATAAACAGTTGAATAATCTGCGAAACAATCTACAATCGCACAACCGTTGTGCGATAGTTTGGTCAAAGGTGGTCAAAGGTCAAAGGCGCACTAACTGCGCGTATATCATAAAGTTTTTATAGTAAATAAGTGTAGATGTACGAGTCATTAAAGCGAATTTTGAATATTATTCGTAAATGTTACGCTAAGTTAATCCATGTCAACTTTAAGCTACGAAGTACTCAGAAAGTCACTATTAATCGATTAAATACACGCGATAACATCCGTAAAATTAGTTTTATTCACTGATACCAGTAATTCTGAATACCCCCAGTGGTGGAAATTATAAAAAAACTAAAGACATCGTCTTTTTACAAGGTCGTTTAATACAGCTTTTAGACTTTGCTTGCGTTTTGATAAAAGTAGAAGCTTTTTAAAATTATCTTACTATTATTACAAATATATTACTAGGACAGGTAAGCAAGTAACGTAGTAATTTGACAAAGATGTAGAGCATAGTCTAGAAGAACACAGTTATTAGTTATGACTTTTTAAATTAACTGACGGAAATGTCGGTGACAGCTAACAAAGATTAAAGCAATAAAACTCTAATTTTTATGCTTTTTATTGTCACGATTACCTAGTTTCTGTTTTTTTCATACAAAAGTATTTTCGCTAAAACATAAACAACATTATTACGTCCGGATATATAGCTTAAGCCGGTAACACACCAAGCTTTCAGTCAATTTATGTGTAAATCGGGTCCACCCTTTCTTGCTCTAGTTGTGTCAAGCGACAGCATTGTCGGTTACAACTCAGAGCAATCTAAACTCTATTTATAAAGACCTAAGATTTATTAACACTGCAAATATTTTTCGCAACACACCTTTCGATTACATTTCGATCGTAAATTCTATGCGATAATTGCCTTTCGTGCCTATCGATTCTATACTGTGCATTCTTGGCGAAAATTTCGTCAGAGTTAAGTGTTGATAAAAACAGGAGCTAGTGTTCGCAACTCTATCATGACAGGTATAGATTGATCAGAAATATAAAAAACTTTAGCATATTGCGGAAATATATGAAAATAATTTTTTGTAGATTAAAAATGTAATAAAGAATCCTATTTTCATTTTCATTGTTTTGTATACATTAAGGGCTAGGATTTTTATGTTATAGGTTAGGTTATAGTCATAAAATATCTAAAATCTTGATAAAGGTAAAGCATACATATAACAGCTTTTCATCTGTAGTAAAATTTAATTATTTGAAAGTAAATTTAATCGGAAATAGCGTAGACATCGCGAGATCTTATTGGAAAGTGAATAAATTGTGAATCGCGTCACGACATCAAAATGTTCAGAGTTAAATAATTTCACGCAAAGTTATCTCATTTATGACATTTTGTAAATTTAATACAGTGACGTCATTTATAGACGACGGATGCTTTAAATAGTTCTGTTGATTTGTTAATGTTATTAAAATTAAACTACTGGATGAATTTGCAAGATTACTGTTAGATTATTATCATTTTATTTATCTAAAAGTAACAGATTTGTAACCAGAGCGTGTATATGGAACGTGTAATGGAACGTAACATTTCTTAGATCTCGATATTATTGTTTGGAATTCTCCCTCGAGTTTTTTGAAGTCGCGAGTTAGCGCGTTGCGTCAACGCACACGAAGCGTTGTGCCGTGGGATACGTATAATGTACTAACAACCTCCTTTATCAAATTCTTTGATTTAATTGCAATCAAGTCTTAGTTAACTTTGTTAGTTAGAATTCTAGTAGTTTGTTTTAATAATGCAGTATCAAGATTGTTTTCTATAACCTCGGAAACATTCCACCTTCACTAATCCCTTTTTATTTTGTAGTTTCATAAAATCAGCACACTATTTATAAACAAGACAGAATAATAATAATTTAAAGGTAAATGTTAAAAAAATATGTATACACTTTCAGCAGTTTGAAACGCTGTAATACATGTCCTCGATACAACTAAATTGTCGAAACATCTGCAATGGAGTCCGTTTACAATTGCAAGCAAAAATGCTGGTGTAGAATTACATATTGCGTTTGTATATACTTTTATATCGTATTTCGTTTTGTAACGTCAAGTAATATCGATTAAAAGCTCGCAAACAGTATACCTCAGTAATGTTACGTGGCCCGACAAGATGGCGTAACGTTGAAACAAAAACAGTTCGCATCCAAGAATATTGTCGCGCCATTCACAACTGTTCTCAATTAAGTCGGTAGCACACTACATTGCGAGGATAGGTACTGTTAACCCACACTTTATAGCGGCTATCGGTGTCCACTGAGGTCGTAGGAAAGCGCGCGCAGGGTTTGATTTCTCTGTGCACTTCTTTAGGTCTTATAAATGACTAAAACAATGTTTAATCTTACTAATATTATAAATGCGAAAGTTTAGATGGATGGATGTTTGTTAGCGTTTGTAGCCTAAACGGCTGAACGGATCTCCATGAAATTTGGCATAGGTTTAGAGCATAGTCTGGAAGAACACATAGGCTACTTTTTATCCCGGGATAACTTACGGTTCCCGTGGAATTCATTAATTTAGTTTTTTAATGTTTACTCGATCATTCTGCAACGGTTCAACATATCTTATAGAAATTTGGCACAGATGTAAAACAAAGCCTGGAGTACACATGGGATAAGCTTCATCCCCGAGGAATACGTAGCTTTTTGTTATTTATATAGTTCGTATGTTTTCTAATACCACGCGGACGAAGTCGCAGGAAACAGATCGTATTTTATATTTAATTGATTAGGGATTATTCAGATCGTATTGGTTTCGCTTTGCTCAGTTTGTGCTCTACCTCTAATCCACCGTTGGTTGACTCGTCAAAAATTACATAGTTTAAACGATCGGCTGTGAACTGGTGTTCCGTTATTGTTTGTATCACAATCGAGTTGCGATTAAGGCCGTCGCTGCGCCCGCGCCGGCTCTGCGCTGTCACTAGCTGTCAACTGCACTGAAGAGTGCGCCGATAATTGCGCGCCAAAACAGTTAGAAAATGGCGGACGTCGGGAAAGAATTCTGGCCATTGTTTGAATTACGCAATACAAAACGAGTATATTAATGATCTAATGAATGTAAACTGTATACATCGTTAGCGAATTCTTTCGCCCGCTAAATTGTTTTTATAATCTCCATGATGTAACATTTTGCTACAAAGAATGTTTTGACAATATTAATATTTTCTTTAGTATGAAAACGATCTTAACTTTTTAAACGTATAAAATATGACATTGTGAAGTTAAGCTCCATTTTAAGTATATCACAAGAAAAAATAAACAAAAATCAAATGTCGAAATACAGATAAAAAATAAGGTCAAAGTCTAAAACATATCGTTGACACGTATTTTGGGCGCCCCTATGACATTGAGGTGTTTTTATTGTATTAAAGTGACAAATTCCAAGTACATAGATAAAAGTGACCTTTACTTTATCGCTAAAACATTTTACCCTATTAATTAATACCAAGCTTCTACCCGCGACTGTACGCGCGGAATTAAAACTAAAATATAACCTATCTTA